AGTTTTCTCATAACTAACACATACCTATTGTGCTTGTTTGAGAAAAATATTTACCCATTCTCTACATTTCACATCCTTCTTAACAGCACAAAAAAGAAATGTGACTTAGTATCAGCAGGTCCAATCTGATCATGCTTCCTCAATACCAGATCAGTGGGAGAAGAAGAGAAAAGAAAAAGGCAATGAAGAAGATGACTTGAGAGAGCGCAATGGCCTGATTTCAGAGAGCACCACAGACTTGCTGCGAGGTCAGGAATGGATGGCTCTGACAGCTGACAAGAGCACGGTATATACTGGTGGGAAGTGAATGTGTGTGATGACTTTCAGTTAGGGAATTCTATATTCAGTTTTCCTATTATACTTTGTAGTTATAGATCTCATAGTGAAAGTGAACATTTTAGTATGATAATCAGAAAACTGATTTTCTGATTAAGACATTTTAAAGACATAACAGTAAAATCAAATGGAGAAATTTGAAGTCTAGAACACAAAAATTTTAAGTCTTTGGTGACAAAAAAAAATCCATTAGCTCTTTGATGACAAAAGAGGAAAAGTCATTGGTAAGGATTATCAGGAAGGCATTTTAGTTAAGTGTGGCTCTGAATGTTCTTACTCAAGGAAAATCTGCCCCCAGGATTCAGGCGAGACAGAGTCCTATGGGACCTGATGGCATTAAGGAACAGTCAGAAAACAGCTCATTCTCACCCTCTCCTTGCAAATCTCCTAACACTGCTTAAAAAGCAGAGGTAGCACCTGAGTGACTTTATGTTTTCAAAGATGTTGTTTGAAGGAATCCTTTACTTTTCCATTAAAATGAAGTGTTCCTATCAATTTTCCTGTTATTTCCTAGGGATTTGAATAAAGGAAAGAAAGGTAGACAGGTATCAGGGACAACAGGGAAGTGATTCAGAATTTTGTTTTTATTTTTGAGAGTGGGGAGCAGAGGATTATGTGTGAGGCAAGATGAGAACCTAGGAAAATACATTTCCATGAGAGAGAAATAACAGTGATAATGCTGGAGTCTGGAGTTTACCGTGCCCAAGCTCTTCTGACTGGCTGATTTCTGGTACTGGTTCTTCTCTTTGGGTTTCCCCAGAAACTGTGAATTAGGTGTAGGCTGAAATTTCTGATTCTATTTTATGTAACATTTCTTAGAATTCTTCTTGTGCTGTCACTTATATTTCAAGAGTGCTGGAAAATTAGGCACCCAAGTCCTAAATATTTTCCTGAAATAAGGTATTTCATATACTACCATAGCTTTAGTCCGAATGCAGATACTAAGGGATGTTAAAAAAAGATGTGAGTTTTTGTTAAGTTACATGAAGGTGTTTTTAAGAGTTATGAATAGTATTAGTTCTTGTTTGGAAAAACCATATTTAACTTTGTACAAGTTGTCAAAGGGAAGTTAAGAAACAAAACCAATGAGCTCATCTTGGTGGAATTTATTTCCTATTATGAAATTTATTTAAATTATTCATTTCCTTCTGAGACAATTCTATATAATATATAGATTGAGGACTCTATATCCAATTAAGTGACAATATAACAGGAAATACACAGAAACAGAACATTTCAACTTTCACAAGAAATCTAGTTTAGTTCTACAAACACAGAATAAAATTTAGGTAATAATTTAAATCATGCATTCAATGCCTCTGATCCATTAAATATTCCACAATTATAGCTACAGGGGTTTCATGTTCTAGCAGAGAGAAGACATGAATAAGACAAGTTCATGTTAAAAAGTATCTTTCATAGCTCTGAATTAGATTGATATTTTGTTAACTGTATGTATTTTTGAAACATTTTGTTACTCTATGCTTTGTTTAATTAAATAGTATGAAAATATTCTTAATGAAAAGATAAAAGTGGAATTTTATTTGTATTAATTTGATTCTCAATTAAATTTCAGGAGAAAAACTTATTTTAAATAAACTTAGTATGTTATTTAAGTAACTTATTTAAACAAAGACTGATTTCATGTACTTAAGTTATTCAAATAATGTACTTTAAACAAAGAATGATTTAATGAGTCCAATTATGTTAAATTCATGATTATGGAAAAATTTTTTTTTTTTTTTTTTTTTTTTTTTTTTTTTTTTTTTTTTTTTTGCCAAGCAGAGTGGAAAGTGAGAGAGAGACAAAGGGAGCACATAAACAAGTCTAGTATCTGCTAACACTAACCGATAGAATAAATAAAGGGGAGAGTGATCCAACATGGGAAGTGAGATACTCAGCAGACTCATAGAATGGCGGATGTCCTAAATAGCACTCTGGCCTCAGAATCAGCCCTAAAGGCACTCGGATCTGGCTGAAAAGCCCATGAGAGTATTTCAGGCATGGAAAGCCAAGACACTCTGGCAAAAAGATCTCTGTGAGTGAGATCCCAGTGGAAAGAACAGGTCTTCAAAGAGGGAGGTGCCTTTCTCTGAAGGGAGGAGAGAACCTCCACTTTGACTATGACCTTGTCTAAACAAGATAAGAGTCGGAGAACTCAAGGGGCTTCCATAGCCTTGGAAACTCATGACTGGTGCATAGGGAGATTACTGATGCCATAAACAGGAGTGTCAATTTGTAAAGTCAACAACAGGAGTCACTGTGCACTTACTCCTCATGTAGGATCTCTGTCCTTAATGTGCTGTACACTGAGGCTTAATGCTATAACGAGTACTCAAACAGTATATTTCACTTTGTGTTTCTATGGGGGTGCAAACTGTTGAAATCTTTACTTAATGTACACTAAACTGATCTTCTGTTAAAAAAAAAAAAAAAAAAGAAATTATCAATTCCCAACTTGACTCTCACTGGGATTAAACATGACAATAGGTCTCGTCTGATTTCATCATCATTAAGAAATCCTCTATTATTTTCCCTCTGTTCTGTGTGGGACAAACAGTTGAATCCTTACTAAGGTATATTAGCTGATCTCTGTATACTAAGATAATGGAAATGATCTTATTTGAATGGAAGGGGAGAGGGAGTGGGAAAGGGAAGGGTGTTGGTGGGAGGGACGGTATGGGGGGGGAAACCCATTGTAACCCATGAGGCGTACTTTGGAAATTTATTATTCCTTTAATAAAGGTTAAAAAAAAAAAAAAAAAAAAAAAAGGTAAGGTCTTCTTTTTCTGTTGATTCACCACCACCCCCCAATGGCTGCTGTGACCGGTGCGCTGCAGCCGGCGCACTGCGCTGATCTGAAGCCAGGAGCCAGTTGCTTCTCCTGGTCTCCCATGCGGGTGCAGGGCCCAAGCACTTGGGCCATCCTTCACTGCACTCTCTGGCCACAGCAGAGAGCTGGCCTGGAAGAGGGGCAACCGGGACAGAATTCCGTGCCCCAGCCGGGACTAGAACCCATTGTGCTGGCGCCACAAGGGGGAGGATTAGCCTATTGAGCCATGGAGCCGGCCTGGATAATAGTTTTATAACTTTGTTAGTTTCAGTAAATAGTTAAATTTTATATTTTTCTTTTGGTTGAAAAATATTCTAAAAATACTGATTCATCTGGGACATTTTAAAAATTAAAATATAGTATCTTGCCATTTCAGGGTACTCTTTAAACAGCAGATAGATTACAATATTTTGTTCAAAAATTTCCTTCAAAGTTGAATCTCATATATGTATGTGTGTGTGTGTGTGTGTGTGTGTGTGTGTGTTTCCTTACTTGACCACTTGCAAAGCCTAGCAGCAATGATAAACCAAAAATAATGCATTTCTATGGAACATATCTTGGTTTGTAATATCTTCCATAAAGGAATCAGGGTTTTGTTTTTTTTTGGAAAAACAGATTTGTTTAGGAAACAATTATCCAACGTGAACCTGAATTATCTTTTAATGCCCCAAATCAGGCATGCCAAAAAACTGAAGCCCAAGGATGATGGGTATCAAGGAGGTACATTGGAGCCAACTGAAGTTATTCCCAATGGTCAAAGCTGGGAACTTTGTATAACTAGCTAAAAAAAGCAGTATCATACACTAAATATCCATCAATTATCAACATGTACATAAATGTTTTAGAAAATAAATAAGCAGGGTAGAATAGATGCATGTTCCATGCAGAAGGATTCTAAATAACTAATGTGACTATTCTCTGTCAAGAGAGAGGAACCCACATACTCTTTCTCAAATGATTGTCTTTCAAAAAGTACAATAGAAAAAGTGTTGGGGGGGAAGGAAGAGTATAGAAAAGTGGTAAAAGAATAACTTATACTACTACTTTACTCAGGTAATAAAACAACTCCAGTGTAAATATAAAGAAAACATCAAGCAAATTCCAGTAAAGGAGCATGTTACAAAATACTTAACTTATTCTACTCAAATTGTCAAGATTATCAAAATCAATTCTGGGGCCGGTGCCACGGCTCAATAGGCTAATCCTCTGCCTAGCGGCGCTGGCACACGGGGTTCTAGCTCCGGCTGGGGCACGGGATTCTATCCTGGTTTCCCCTCTTCCAGGCCAGCTCTCTGCTGTGGCCCGGGAGTGCAGTGGAGGATGGCCCAAGTGCTTGGGCCCTGCACCCCATGGGAGACCAGGAGAAGCACCTGGTTCCTGCATTTGGATTGGCGCAGTGCACCGGCCGAGGCGCACCGGCCGTGGTGGCCATTGGAGGGTGAACCAACGGCAAAAACAAGACCTTTCCCTCTGTCTCTCTCTCTCACTGTCCACTCTGCCTGTAAAAAAAAAATCAATTCTGTAGCAAGCAAATGGAAAGTCTCATTGCTCACAAACAATATAATAAAATACTTGGAAATGTATTTAATATAAAATATTTAAACATGTATAAAAATATAAAACCCTGGAGTCTCAGAAAAGTATAATTCAACAGATACATCTTTAGGATATTAAAAATAGCATTAAGATGAACTTTTTTCCTAGCTTAACTTATAATTGTACATGACACTAATAAAAATACTATGGAGATGTGGGCATTGCATAACTGTAAAGATGCTGGTTGGGCACCCATATCACATATCAGAATGTCTGGGCTTCAGTCCCGGTTCCATTATGAATTCCAGCTTTCTGTTAAGGCACACCCTAGGAGGCAGCATTTGATAGTTGAAGTACTTGGGTTTCTGTCACCCAAGTAGGAGATGCAGACTGAGTTTTTTGTTCCTAACCTCAGCCTGGCCCAGCCCCAGCAGTTGCTAGCATTTAGGAAGTAAAGCAGTGAGTAGAAGATCTCTCTCTGTTTCTCTCCTTCATACTCTAACTATTCATCAGTATGTTTGCTTTTCAAATTAATTAACTAATAACAATTTTTAAGGTTAATATTGAATTTTCTCTGCAGCAAGCAAAGTTCACAGTGAAAAATAATTGCACAAAAATGCTAATTTTTGTTTCCAGAATGATGCTGGACCAATAAAATTAGTGTGGAAATGCGCCTTCTTGTGTTTTTTGGAAGTGTTTATGACTGGCATTAATTCTTCTTTAAGTATCTCATAGAATTTCTCCAGGAGGTCTCCTGATCCTAGCCTTTCTTGTTGGGAGATTTTGATTATTAATTCAATCTCCGGTCATTGATCTCCTCCAGCTTTTTATTCTTTTTTTTTTCATTTTCAATTATCTTTATATACAGAAGATCAATTGTTTTGATATGTCATATGTTTCCAGGAATGTTGGCATATGATTGTTTATTTTGATCAGCATACTTTTCATTTCTGACACATTGTTGTAAGGTATCTTACTTTGTTCTGATTTTATGCATTTGAATATTTTTTCAGGGCCCCATTTATTTTTATTATAATTAATACTACTATAACTAATTTTGGATGTTATGGGCACATAGGTTATTTTGTTTACAAGAATGTGTATTCTGTTAAAACCCCCTGGAGAATAATTTCTTCTCCTGCTAATGTTGCTGTTTTAATGTTTTACCAGGTAATTGAGCCAGTTATGTTCAGCTGTAAGTTCTTCCTGGCCTTCTTCCATCAGGGATTTCACTGTCAATTAAGTTTTTAAAGCTTTTGTTGTGTTGTTTGGATCTGATCATGCCACTGTGGACTCCTGGGACTTGGTGTTGGTTCTCAAAATATTTACCATGCTTTTGTGGGCCTATACCCACCCATATGTGGGTGAGTCCAGTACTTCATTTTTTTCATACAAATAATTATGGATGCCTTCTCCAATGTTATCCTCCCTGCGACTTCACCTATACTCTTTAGATATCAAGGGCTCTCTCTAGAACTGACTTTGACAAGAAAAACAAGCTTTTAAAGTTTTATCCTACTGAGTTATTGAATATGATTGACTATGGGTTATCTTCAAGAGAAAACTGTTAGGCAAAAAAGTGAGAATTCCTTACCTTGGGCTCCAGACAAGAGTGACCCCTTTTCTTGGTTTATCTAGCTAGAGACACAGGTTTGAATTTGGGATTTAATGTGCCTTTAAATCCACCTCCATTATAGTAGCAGACTTAAAACTCTGAAATAGGTTTGGCCCCATAGCAGAACTGTAAAAGAACAAAGGAAAACAGAGTACTCCCCTTAAATTCTCCACATTTCCTGGCCCTATGGCTAAAAAGAGGAGTTTTCCTTCAACGTTTTGCTTTCTGAAACTCCTGAACAGTTCCACAACTTGAGCTATTGAGTTTTCCTTGAGTGAAATCTGGGAAACAGAGACAAGAATCAAAATCAAAACCAAACAAATAACAAATTGCTGCTGCTGGGTACTCTGGGCTTGCTCCTTTACTTGCCTTTATGGTTTCCTAGATCAGAATCTTCCTGGAGCTGCTTTTTGTATTCTGTTACAAAAAAAAAAAAAAAACCAACAGGCTTTTATTATCTTCCTTCACATTGGCTGACATTGAAAATTCCCCTTCTCATCTGAGGAAAACCTCTAGAAACATCCAATGGTAAAGTGGCCTACACTTACATAGTCCGGCATATATATATATATATATATATATATATGATATAGAGATAATGTTAAAATTTAGAAAAACGATACAAATTGTGATGCTGGGTAAAATATAATGTTCTCTGCTATTCCATTACTTTTCTTCACTTTTTTTAATGATTTTTTTAAAAAATAAATAACTGAAGTGTTTGCTATTTGAAACTGTTTTTCTAATAAAATTGTTCAATACTATTTTTCTAACCAACACTGCCTTGAAAGATCTTGATGTCTTTATAACTTGTGCTTTCCTGGGTAAAGTGGAATGATAGTGATAACATAATAAATGGATTTATTAATACAAAGGAATCTGTTCCTGGGGCAATTTTTCTATTTCTTTTGCCCTGTCATTTCATACACCTTTCTTTTGTTATAATTAATATGATAGGATCCTAAACACTGACAAAAATATTTTAAGACAATTTTGTGTCAAGTATTTTTTAAATTTTTGAAATTTCATTGGATATTCTTGCATAAAACCTTTGTATCAAAACTAATAAAATAGAGATGAACACAAAGACTGATTTGTTTCAACAGAATTGTGATATCCCACTAAATAAAAGTACCACAATGTTTACACTTTAAATAAATTCATTATTTATTCTGGGTTAATTTTTTAATTAGACAATGATGAAAGCTACATGTTTTGTTGATTTGCCCATAAAAATCCCTTCTTTCATGTCAGTGTCATAAAACTTAGAAGAATTTCTTCTTCCTGGTGGCAATGCCTCTTGATTTCCTCAAAACAACAAACACCTGCTACTATTACAATGCTTAGCGTTTTACCACAAGCATTCACACAGATGCCCCAGACGTGTAGCTTAATTCACTATAAAAATTAGATAAAAAATCCATGCATTATCATAGTTTTTATATGTCCAAAGAACAAGGTGATTAGTACTTTCGTCCCTCTGGTTGACAACTTTTTGGTAGTGCCACATGCTGTGGCCTGGGAAAGCAGTAGAAGATGGCTCAAGTCCTTGAGCCCCTGCACCCATGTGGGAGACCTGGAGGAAACTCTGGGCCCCTGGCTTTGGATCAGCGTAGCTCCACCCATTATGGCCATCTGGGGAGTGAAACAGTGGATGGAAGACCTCTCTCTCTCTGTCTCTCCTTCTCTCTGGGTGTAACTCTGCCTTTCAAATACATAAATAAATCTTTTAATAAAAGCCAAGATTTAAGCATCTTCCTCTGGGTGTAACAAAACGGGTATAATAATAATAAAAAATAAAAATAAAATTGTGAATTACATGATGCAATTAAGAAGAGATGTTGTTAGCTTTGGTGAAGCTGGAAACCATGGAGGTCAACAGATATGGATAGACTGGGATATACATTTTAGGATAGAATCAGAATGAAATGCAAATATATTAGATACTAGGTTTTGAGAGAAATAGGGATATGATTTCTAAGTTTCTGGGTCAAGCAGTTGGTTATGTAATTATACAGTATATTTGGATGATAAAAACAGGGGAGAAACAATTAGGAAAATTTAATTAGGGATTTGATTTTGGTCATCTCATGTTTCAGACTGCCTATTAAGAACATTAATAGAATGGCTGAATGTACAGTCTAGTCTTAAGGTCAGAAAACCTTCCTGAGTTAAAAACATTAGGAATTATTAACAAGTAAAAGATAAAGTGTAGGGCAGAGTATGGAGAGAGAAAAAGAAGAAGTGTTAGGGTCTAGATCCAATTAAAATTGTCACTTAGAGGCCACATACAAAATATGTCAATTAAGGAGGTTGGCACAGGGCAAGAGCAAAGCAGAAAAAAATCAAAACAGGGTGCTACCCAACTGAGAAAGACACAGATTTCAAGTAATCAATTGTGATCAGTATTACAGAAAAGTGTGACATATAATATTTTAAAAATGTTTTTTTTTCCTGGAGCAATATAGAGGTTGTCAGAGATTAATAGCCCAAATCTGACATAAATTTTGGTAGACTAGGGAAGTACCAATGACAGTAGTTTAAAAGTGAATAATAGAGGAGGAAGAGAAAGTATGCATTGGACATATAAGATATTAGATGTTTGGGTGGACAGAAAGTGAGTGGTAGCTGTGGTCTTCTTATATTTATTGAGATTAGGGGAACAAGAATGTGATCTTTTACTAATGATAACAACTTAGTAGAGATGGATGTGTTAGTGATGTTGAAAAAAGTCAATAATAGGGGAGGGAAGTCCCTGAAAAGCTAGAACACATGGATCTTAAGCAAAACTGGAGTTTTAATAAGAGGATTCATTCTTCAGTGTAATAAAATGGGTTGAGAGATAGTAAGTGAAAACTAAGAAAATCACTGTTTTATATTTTCATTCCCCAAATGTTCCTCAATTGATAAGATAAAGAATAAAACACACACACACAAACATACACACACACTATGGAATACTACTCAGACATAACAAGAATGAAATCTTGTCTTTTCAAGAAAATGCTTCAACTGGAAGCCATTCTGTTTTGTGCAACAAGCCAGTCCTAAAAAGACAAACATCATTTGTATTCCGCAATATATGGTAATTAATATACAAAGTGGAAAAGATGTAATGCACATGAATGAAACTGACATTTTGAGATTTAATTTCTTTTTTACAGCTATTGTCTCTACTCTTGAGGAACAGTGGTTTTTCAGTATTTGTAGGATTCTTTATTTGCTGAGGGTTAAGCTTGTAAAATAAGCTGTAAGTATGTCATTGTAAAAATTAAAATAAAAAATAAGAAAGCAAAGAGAAAAGAGGGTGGGAGGAAAATACCATTATATTCACAAAGTTGTATCTATAACTTCATACCAACCATTCTTATATGTATTAAAATAAGTGAATTAAAAGATCACATATTAAAGTCACCTATTCATCTTAGGAAACTGTGATACAACTGAACTTGGTGAGGCATAAGAACAGTTACATTTATAGAAATAGCCTCAGATATACATTTTATACCATTCTATTTGAGAACTTTTATTTGTACTGATAATGGGGCAATCAAATCTGATATGGAGTCACTGAAAGAAAACCGATCAAAATTTCAATGAATGAAAGAACTGGGCATAGTCAAAGCATCTTATGTTCTGGCCAATATGCAATTCTACAGAAAGAGCAACAGGGATGGAGATAAAGAAAAATGTTGATGTTTACACTTACAGCAATTTCACTTGTATTAAAGAAGGATGCAAATTGTAGAGAAGCGGGAAAATAAATTGCAGTGAGTATTAAAATGTGTTTAATAAGTAGTTAGAAGTTGGTTGTTAACAAAAAGGAGTATCAAAAAATTTTTCAGTTTTTATTGTGGTACAGATTTATCATATTTGATAACATGTTAGCGACTAGAGGAGAGAGAGATGGATTATTTAGGGACAGCCTATCTCAAAGGAAATGGCAGAGGTGGTATTTGGGTCACAAACGTATTTGGTTAACCTTGGGAAAAAAAGAAGGGTTTTTGGTTTTCTTCTAGCAGAGACATGGTTTGGGGGAGTGCCTCAGAGTATACACAGAGCAAAGAACACTTAGAATAATAACTGTGAATTTTTTTTAACTTTTATTTAATGAATATAAATTTCCAAAGTACAGCTTATGGATTACAATGGCTTCCCCCCCATAACATCCCTCCCAACCACTACCCTCCCCTTTCCCACTCCCTCTCCCCTTCCAATCACATCAAGATTCATTTTTGATTCTCTTTTTTTTTAACTTTTATTTAATGAATATAAATTTCCAAAGTACGACTTATGGATTACAATGGCTTCCCCCCCATACCGTCCTTCCCACTCACAACCCTCCCCTTTCCCACTCCCTCTCCCCTTCCATTCACATCAAGATTCATTTTCGATTATCTTAATATACAGAAGATCAGCTTAGTATACATTAAGTATGGATTTCAACAGTTTGCTCCCACACAGAAACATAAAGTGAAAAATAATAGATGATTTTTTTAAATGATGATGAAATCAGAGCAGACCTATTGTCATGTTTAATCCCAGTGAGAGTCAAGTTGGGAATTGATAATTTCTTTCTTTCTTTTTTTTTTTTTTTTACAGAGGATCAGTTTAGTATGCATTAAGTAAGGATTTCAACAGTTTGCACCCCCATAGAAACACAAAGTGAAATATATTGTTTGAGTACTCGTTATAGCATTAAATCTCAATGTACAGCACATTAAGGATAGAGATCCTACATGAGGAGTAAGTGCACAGTGACTCCTGTTGTTGACTTTACCAATTGACACTCCTGTCTATGGCATCAGTAATCTCCCTATGCTCCAGTCATGAGTTTCCAAGGCTATGGAAGCCCTCTGAGTTCTCCGACTCTTATCTTGTTTAGACAAGGTCATAGTCAAAGTGGAGGTTCTCTCCTCCCTTCAGAGAAAGGTACCTCCTTCTTTGATGACCTGTTCTTTCCACTGGGATCTCACTCGCAGAGATCTTTTGCCAGAGTGTCTTGGCTTTCCATGCCTGAAATACTCTCATGGGCTTTTCAGCCAGATCCGAATGCCTTTAGGGCTGATTCTGAGGCCAGAGTGCTATTTAGGATATCTGCCATTCTATGAGTCTGCTGAGTATCTCACTTCCCATGTTGGATCACTCTCCCCTTTATTTACTCCATCGGTTAGCGTTAGCAGGTACTAGACTTGTCTATGTGCTCCCTTTGACTCCCAGTCCCTCCACCATGACCAACTGTGAACTGAAATTGATCACCTGGAACAGTGAGATGGCATTGGTACATGCCACCTCGATGGGATTGAATTGGAATCCCCTGGTATGCTTCCAACTCCACCACTTGGGGCAAGTCAGCCTGAGCATGTCCCAAATTATACATCTCTTCCCTCTCCCATTCCCACTCCCATGTTCAACAGGGATCACATTTCAGTTAATTTTCAACACTTAAGAATAACTGTGCATCAATTACAGAATTAACCCAGTCATTCTCTTTATATGCAGAAGATCAGTTTAGCATACATTAAGTAAAAATTTCAACAGTTTGCTCCCATACAGAAACATAAAGTGAAAAATACTGTTTGAGTACTAGTTATAGCATTAAATCTCAATGTACAGCACACTAAGGACAGAGATCCTACATGAGGAGTAAGTGCACAGTGACTCCTGTTGTTGACTTAACAAATTGACACTCTTGTTTATGGCCTCAGTAATCACCCTAGGCTCTTGTCATGAGCTGCCAAGGCTATGGAAGCCCCCTGAGTTCATTTGACTTTCATAATTTTTAGACAAGGCCATGGTCAAAGTGGAAGTTCTTTCCTCCCTTCAGAGAAAGGTACCTCCTTCTTTGATGACCCGTTCTTTCCACTGGGATCTCACTCGCGGAGATCTTTCATTTAGGTTTTTTTTTTTTTTTTTTTTCAAGCTAAATAGTTGTCTGAATCACGTTTCTTCAAAGAAAATAGCCATAAAATGTGCAGATCTGATCTATGAGATGTAGTTTGCAGATTGGATCACATAATTATGGAGGCTGAGAAGTCTGGCAATATGCAGTCAGCAAGATGGAGAACCGAGAAAGGTGGTGCTGTAATTCAGTCTGATCCCAAAGGCATGAAAACTGGGGGAGCAGAGTATGAAACCCACAGGATGAGCTCAAAATTCTGAGAAACTGATTGGAAAGAAGCAGGAACTGCTAGTGTTAGCTCTGCAGTTCACAGGCCCCAAAACCTGAGGTTTTGATTCTTTCTGATACAGAAGATGAATGTCACAGCTGAAGAAGATAGATTTTTGTTCTGTATTTTTGTTCCACATTTTTGTTCTATATTCTCAACTAAACAGATTTGACTGGACCCACTCCCGCTGGTGAGGGCGGATCTTCTTCACTCACTGCACTGATGGTAATATGCTGATCTTTTCCAAAAACACCCTCACAAGACATGCTAAGAAATGTTTTCACAGGTATCTGAGTAGTCCCTAGCCTGATCAAGTTGACTAATAAAATTAGCTATGCCACTATTGTTGTCTTTTTCAGGGGACAATTCTGTGTATCTGAAATTCCAAAGATTGTTATAATCTTCTGGTACTGGACTGATGAACCACTTACATGGACAGAGATGACTATGTATATTCTGCAGCAAAAAATATTCATATTCTCAGTTAATTGTGACAAGGTTTTGCCTTATATGTTTTGATTAAAATGTATATTCAGAGATGACTTTAACATACATATAACTTTGATTCATTTGCTTTTACCAGCCTGGAATACATTCTTTTCCTCCAGAGCCCTGAAAGTCTGGCAAGTTTAGGGGCTGAGCTCTGAAAGAAGAATATGTTGAAAACAAATGATAATAGTTGGCAAAAAGAAAAAAAAAGGTAAAAGCAAATGAAGAGAATTTGTGGTGCTTGTGTACTCAATGAGAACATGTTGGGGTTATGTTGGCTATGGCCAGGTGGCTTGAAATACAGAGTTGTAAGATATTACTCATCCTGGACCCTCTCAATCTTGAAATATCACTGAGTTTAGCTGAATAAATTTTGGAACACTGAGATGTTATTGATGTATGAAGATTGAGCTCCTACTGCACTGTATCATTCTGAAGGATCAACACTGGTTTCCATTTAAATGCTACATTGACAAGGTAGAGAAGCCATTTAAGTTTGTAAGATTTTGTATAAAAGTTTGGTGTGGAGAAAATATTTAGATAATCCAGAGAAACTAAAAGTAATAAAGATCATTCTATTCTATTCCATTGTATTCTATTTTTTTATTTCAGTAATTAGTGGTAAAATTTAGTGCCATTAATTCCTAATGAGCTTGAACAGACCCAGAACAAAGTTTCCAGTTTTTTGCATAGCTAATGGTTAATAATGTAAATAGACAAGCATTTCAAAGTGGAGCCTTTTCATATGACAACATCTCCTCAGATATACCCTACTTTGCTATCATATATGTTGGAGAATGACCTCAGATTTTCCCATAGGAAACAGTGACTAGCACTGTAGGTATACCCACTCAAATGAAGGCATATAGATCACAAAATTCCTAAATAAACGCATATGGATCACAAAATTACTAAATGAAGTCTTTTTTTTGCAAAAGATTATGGTGTGCTCCATACTAATTCTAACTAAAACATTTTCCTCTTGACATATGTGCCAGACACAAATGTGTACAAATTAAATTACTACATGCAAAAACAATTGCTATATTTTATTTACTCCTTGAGAGGAAATGTAATATTACAGTATAAAATATATAGTCTGGAAAAAAAAAAAAAACACCTGGCTGTGAATTTTGTCTCTGTGGAATACCAGTTGAGTGATCTTAAAAACACTGTTTCATCACTTTGAATATTAGTTTACTCATTTAAAATGGAGATGATACTGATGTCTACAATAAAGGTTTGCTGATGAAATACATCTAAATATTTATATTCAATGCATTAGTGCTCTTAAAGCAGGGCCTGAGGGAGAGAAAGCACAAAAGCACCTTTTAGTATTATTACGGTAATGAGAAGAGGAATATGATTGAGTTCTGGATGCAAAGGTTTGGCCGATGATTAAGTCACCAGTATCAGAGTAACTGATTTGATATTCACCTCCAGCTCCTCACTGCAGTTTCTTTCTATTGCAGACCCTGGGAAGTGGTGCTGATGGCTCAAGTAAATGAGTCTCTCCAATTCACTTTGGAGACCTGGATTGAGTTCTTGGCTCTTTGTTTTGGCCTGATAGCCCTTGCCACTGCAGCATTTGGGGGAGTGAACGAATAAATGGTGGTCTCTCTCCCTGTCTCAAATAAGTGAAAATAAAAATAAATTAGTTTCTGAGTTTTGAACAGTGCCTACTTGAACCATAAATCTAGTGGCTTTTACAGTAGTTTCCACATGCCTTCCTTGTTCTTAACCATTTTAAGCTTTGTCACAAGAACTATCTGTTTTCCAACTATCTGTCAGTTTGTTTTTATTTTATTATCTCAATACAACCTCTGGCTTCTGTGACGCCTGTTTTGATTCCTGCTGCATTAATTCCCTTCAGAATTCATATGTTGACAATTTATCCTTAATGTGATAGTATCTCCAATGTGTATTAGAAGATAGGGCCTTTGGGAAGTGGTTCGTAGGTTACTAAGGCAGCTGCATCATGAGTGCCCTGAGGGCTAGCTGGCTCTCCCACCAGGTTCACACACAACAACAAAGTACCCTCGGTGATGCAAGGGCCCTTGCTAGACACCAAACCTGCCAGTATCTTGATCTGAGACTTCTCAGCCTCCACAACCTTAAAAAAGAGATCTTGTTTATGTTACTGTTTTATGGTATTTTTAATACAGCAGCCAAACACACTCAATCAACTTCTCATCCAGAAATACCTTATGATTCTTTCCAAATCTTCTCAGTTTTCCTCACTGTGTAATGTGAGTTCTTAAGAAGCCTGGGATACCTGTCTCTTAGCTGAGTTAGTCTGAAGAACACCAATGAGCATCAGCAAGCAATGACGATTATTTCCACCTTGAGGCTCCAGTGGCCTTGTCAGAGCTGGAACTCCTTACCCCCTTTCTTAATGATGACATTGGGCTCTAGTAAAGAGAGCTATTCATTCAATGAACTTGTCTTTAAGGTCCTTTGGCTCCAACAGATCTCTGTTAGTAGGGATCTAGTCTTGTGCTTCTCACTGAGAAGTACCTAAGTATGGTTCCAAAGTGCAGGTAGCATGGTGATAAACCAGTCAGATGGCTTGGATGGCAATATTGACTCTTTCATAGCCCTGTTGAGAGATCTTGGTCAATTTACCCTAAGCAATATTTTACTTGGTTTTCTCAAATATTAAATGTAGGATAATAATATTTGTCACTTAAAGTTATTCTCAGGATTGAATGAATACATGCATGCAAAATAGAACAGGGCTGAACAGGTTCAAGGCATACAAACACTACTTAATATTACTCTTAAAGAGATAATTGAAAATTACTGGTGGAACTAGCGAGTTAGCCCTGCACCACTATCAGAGCACATGCAGACAGTGCTAGGGCAACTCAAAGGGTTTTTCTGCAGTGAATACACCACAACTCCAAGTACTAAAGGAAGTGGTGGGATGATGACACCAGGACTAGGGAAATGCTAACAGGGAATGATTGGTATCAGGCTCACCCTCATGATGAGCCCACATCAGGAAGCACCACAAGCCATGACCACCTCCACGAGGAAATGCTTCAGTTTTACTACAGAGGAGTCACTGCTTCTTATTTGGTGAAGCATTAAGCCTTTTTACTGCAAGGTAATTTTAAGATATATTACCTGAAAAGCTAAAGAAAATTAATGAAATGGAGAGAGAGAGAGGTGGTGGAGGGGAGAGGGGGATGGAGAAAGGAATGGAATATCATTGAGCTCTTGGATTGTGTCTACAAATCAAAATAAACTTATTAAAATTAATTTAAATTTTTAAAATAATAAACAAGAAAAACTGTATTCTACTAGACAAAATATAAAAATTGGAACAATTTACTTTATACTCTTTTTTTAAGTCCAATTAATTGATGTTTATTTATTTCCTGTATATGTGTTTCTCACTTGGTTATTGCTCCTACCAAATGATTCATCCCTATGCACAGGAATTCCAGAAAAGTTTTATCATGCTATGTGCATCCCAGTCTAAATTTGTGTGCCACATTTAATTGTTTTCATCTGCTTTTATCATACATATCACTTGAAAAGTGAATCTCAGTCTTGCACTCTTGTGGTCTCCTTGCTTTCCATTTTTATGGTGCCTTCATCATTTCAAACAAAATTCCCCATATCCTCTCAGAACTTTCATGTACACATTGCCTGAAAACCATAATGAAATTGTGGACCCTCTCTTTTTTCCAAGATCACTTGTGCTTTAGAAAATTTCATGGTTTTGGGGCTGGTGCTGTGGCGCAGCGGATTAAAGCCCTGGCCTGAAGTACTGGCATCCTATTTGGGCGCCGGTTCTAGTCCCGGCTACTCCTCTTCCAATCCAGCTCTCTGCTATGGCCTGGGGAAGCAGTGGAAGATGGCCCAAGTAACCCCAGCACCCACGTGGGAGACCCAGAAGAAGCTCCTGGCTCCTAGCTTCGGATCGACGCAGCTTTGGCCATTGCGGCCATCCGGGGAGTGAACCAGTGGCTGGAAGACCTCTTTCTGTCTCTACCTCTCTCTGTAACTCTGTCTTTCAAATAAATAAAATTAATCAGAAAAAAAAAGAAAATTTCATGTTTTTAATGATACACATAATTGAATGTTGATATTGAAACTTTCCACATACTAGGTTGACATACTTTTATCTTTGCTTTCAAATTATTATTTAGGTAACAAGAACCATTCTGAATTTACATTGCCACAATTTGTCAATGTAATTTTAGGACATTTTTCACAGATGTCCCCTATGTCTACTAGGCATTCTATAAAATCCAAACAAATTACTAATTTCTGTGCATAGCAATCAAGATGTAATGTTTTATGTCATAACTGAAGGATTATTTATTTTTAAGTTTTGTACTTCAATTGATTATCATCCTGTTTGTGACATCAGTAGCACATGTTATTCCATTTCTCACATAAGGAACCTGGATTCATCCTGGTTTTCTTTTCCTTGTAACATCATAAACTCTGCATCCTTTTTGGAAGTTGTCCTAGAAACATAATTTTCATAATTTTTCAGGACCAAGTAGACTTTAGAGTCATGATACTCAATTCCAAGCAATGTATTTTTGACGTGTAATCTTTTACTTATATTAAAATTTATGTTGAATTTTTGAAGTTAACCAAAATACAGCTTTCTCTGTAATATTATTTTCCATGTAAGGTTTTTTAAATACTTATTTGAAAGGCATAGTTAGAGAAAGAGAGAGAAAGAGACAGGGCTGGACCAGGAGGAAGCCAGGGGTCTGGAATTCCATCCAGGACTCCTAGAAGAGTGGCAGGAGCCCAGATGCTTTGGGCCATTTTCTGCTGTTTTCCTAAGTTCATCAGCAGAGAGCTGGATAGTAAGTGGAACTGCTGGGACAGAACTGGTGCTAGCATGTGATACTGGCATTGCAGGTGATGGCTTAACCACCTTGGCCACAGCATCACTTCGGCATTTACATTCTTTTATACACACTTTTGGTTATTTCTCACAACATCTTTGAAGCAGGACTTTGCTTTTAACAAGTAGATGTGAATAAGACACAGGAAGGAAAAAAAAAACATCTTTGAGATGAGTGAATTTTTGGTGCAAACAAGATCAGTACTGAGGAAACCTACAAGGCGATGGCTCTTAAAAATATTTTTAACCCTTGGACAATTCAATTTAATTTCCTAAATTCCACATTAAAAATTTGTAAGGAAGTAGAAGGTTAAAAAATTTCGTTTTTATCCACCACATATATGACAGAGTTTCTATAAGAGTTGGTTGAAATAAAGGACATTGCATGTTTCACAAACACTTTCAAAAAGTGAATTTAATTCAGGATAAAGAAATAGTGATCATGTTCAGTGTAATCTAACTCAAATGTTGATAAGAAGAGTTAAAAATGAAATAATCACTGACTGCTAGTTGAAAATAATTTTACAGTTTTCCAATTGTGCCTACATCAAAATTACCTGTATGCTCCTCAGACATGGATGGAGGTTCTCATATCCTTCTTGGATGATTCCTAATTCCTAAAAATTAAAATGCCTAGGAAGAGTAAAATATACTAAGTCAGACAGATCTAGTTTTATTCCCAGGCCCACCGCTTACTGTCTGTATATATGCCCTTGGAAGAGTTACTTAACTTCCATTGTTAATTTTCTCAGCTATGACATGAGGACAATGTCCCATCATCTGATGATTAAGGCAGAATGCAGGCCCAGCATGGAAAGCAAAATCCGGCATATATTTTGACTCAATGAATATATGCTAGTTTCCATTTCAGATTATAAGTATTATAAGTGTTATAAATATTGCTTTATTCATCCAGCTATCCTTGAAAAATGGCTGCTGATTGCTTTCTTTTCTATATTTGCCAGACTTGTATGTTACATTTTGAGAGTACTAAGATGAGTCAAACCAAATCAGTGTACTCCTTAGCTAGAACATGGACTTGCTCATTGGAGCCTGCCAGTGAGTAACACTGGACTTGGTGCATACTCCATACTCAATAGTTTTTAAATTAAATGAGTTAACATATCATAATTTTTTGTCTGAGCAGTAGAGATGATTATATAAACAATTTTTCAAAGTGTACCATAATAAGTGTTATAATTTAGAAGTTTACTGTCTCAATTTAATTTTATTTCATCATGTTATTCTGTTATTATTTAGTTGAACTTCATTTCCTTTCTTTTTCCATTATTCTCTCCATTATGACTTTACCACTATTGGTTCTTAAGGTTTTTCCAACATTTACAACATGGCTTGATTTTGTCTCATGTAAAATTTTCATTAACTTTGGTGTTTATTCCCTCTTGCCTGATGTTGAATAAAAAAATTTATACAACAGTTTCTAACATCACCCTCACACTGTGACTGCCTCTTCCTAGCCTGTTAAAAACTGCAGTTTATCATTAGCTTTGATCTCTGGGCTTGGAAAAAGAGCAAGTCTTCGCAACTATGATGTTATAAAAGAGAATTTCAAAAGGACATTTTCCAATAACACACTTAGGGAGAAACTTATGAGATCTACGTTTGCATATGTGTGCGTGTGTGTGTGTGTGTGAGAGAGAGAGAGAGAGAGAGAGAGAAAGATTAATTTAAGTAAATCTGAATCTAGTTGCATGAAATGTTTAATATCAATCATGTTATAAAAATCTCAAGGAAAATTTTTTAAAGATTTATTTATTTGAAAAACTTAATAAC